GGCTGTTGTTTCGGCGATCTAACCCCGTTTAGGTCGGCGAAGTATCTTAGAAGTTGTCCGTCCATAGGGCTACATTCACTACGTATTCTCCTACTCAGGGCTGGCATCGAGTCAAACCCTGGGCCAGAAACATACACCTGCCGAAGACGATTACACCACAACTCCACCTCAGTCAAGTGTAATGCCTGCGAGGGGTGGAGTCACCTCAGGGTCTGCTCGGGACTACGGACACACAGACAGTGGACCACGTCGTACGTGGCCCCCTGTTGCTCAAACAGAGCAGCCTCCACGGCTAACCATAGTCGGCCCGAGCAGCCCCACACACTCACACAGCAGCCACACACAGTCACCACAACACAACAACATAATAACACCACAGACCGTACCACAGCCACTACAGACCACATAACACACACAACCGCACCACCACCCACACGCCGCCGCCAACAACTCCTGGTTCCCCCTACAATCTGTACGGTATGTCAGACCAGGATATTCCGTAATGTGACATCAGTCAAGTGCAACACCTGCCTTGGCTGGTGCCACTTTAGGGCATGCTCAGGTCTGCGTACCACGCGAGATTGGACGGGGAACTTCGAGGGCCCGTGTTCCGCTGCTCGGTCGCAGACTCCATTTGCGACGCCCCCCACCACCACCACAGGGCGGCAATCACCTCAGCAGCACACACAGCCAACGGCGGCAAGAACATACACTTCACTTACACCCCACATCACGACACGTCTCCCGAACCACATGAAGCTCCTTCAATTTAACTGTAACGGGCTACAGAGCAAGATTGAGGAGATAACCGTCTTCATGTGTCGGCATGGTATATTAATAGCTGCGGTCCAAGAGACGAAGTTGCACAGCAATTCAACTTTGTTGAATTGCGCCGGGTACAACGTGCACCGTCGAGATCGCGAGCGAGATAATGGTGGTGGATTAGCGTTCATCACGCACCACACCGTGCAGTATCGTCTTATCGAAGCAGACATCGACCGCAGGGATACCACCCTAGAATGTCAGGGCATCGCTATCCGGTCAGGCGATGTCGAGCTCCAAATATTCAACATATACATACCCCCTGTCACCTGCTGCCCGGCAGGATATCACCCTGATATAGGTGCGCTCCTCAGAGGTGAAAACCGTATGGTAGTAGGTGACTTTAATGCGCACCACGATCTTTGGCACTCAAGCCTGTCAAACGATCGTAGGGGAACAGACTTGGCTGAGCAGATAGACGATTCGACATTCTGCACAATGAACGACGACGCACCCACCAGGATTATGGGTAACTGCAGTAGCTCGCCAGACATCACAATAGTCAGCGCTGGTCTGATAAACAGCATAACGTGGCGACCTATGCTGACTCTAGCATCAGACCATCTACCCATAGTCATCTCGATTGATAAACCAACCGACTTTGCCTCCGCCAAACACCGGACCTATATCAACTTTTCCAAAGCTGATTGGAAAGGTTACGCGGAGTTTACTGAAAACACCTTCGCAGCGCTCCCCACACCAACCGACGTCCATCTCGGTGAACGTAAGTTCCGCAGGGCTATCACTGCTGCTGCAGCTCGCTTCATACCGGCAGGGTGTATATCGGACCCACGTCCAAACTTCCCTGCCGAAGCGGCTGTTCTAGCCGATGAGCGTGATAGCCTTCGTCAGGCCGATCCCGGAGATCCCCGTATCAGGGATCTCAACGCGGAGATTCGGCAACTTGTAAACGTACATAAGTGGAAGAAGTGGGAGGAGCATCTGAAGACTTGTAACTTCACCTCTGGTGTGAGCAAGCTTTGGTCAACCGAGAGGTCATTGTCTAATCCGACGAAGCACGACGACGGAGTCGAAATTTCCTTCGGCGACCATGCCTCGTCGGACCCGGAGCGATGCGTGAGCTATTTAAGCCGGCAGTTCATACTGCATCCTCCGGTGGACAAAGCCAAGCGTCGAGTGACCAGAAGGCTGCACAAACTGCCAACAACTTGTGCCCCCCTTGCTTTCACTTGCGGTGAAATTCAGGTGGCCATCGGGAAGGCGAAAGCCTCCAAAGCCATGGGTCCCGACGGAATATGCATGCTGATGCTGAAAAATTTGGGTCCTGCGGGGGTAGCGTACCTAACGGAGGTCCTCAACTTGTCAATGGCCACTCTCATCATCCCAGACATCTGGAAGGTGGTCAAAGGCGTTTGACACCGTCTGCCATTCCACGCTACTAGAAGATATAGAGGCCTCCTCTCTCCCACAGAGGCTCAAACGGTGGTCGGCAAATTATCTGAGTGGTCGACATTCGTCGGTAATGTTTAGAGACAAAACGAGTAAGCAGCGAAAAATAAAACAGGGGGTTTATCAGGGTGGTGTCCTTTCCCCGCTACTGTTTAACCTTTACATTTCAAAGCTCCCTCAACCACCAGAGGGAGTCTCGATTGTCTCCTATGCCGACGATTGCTCGATCATGGCGACTGGGAATGGAATTGATGACCTGTGTTCGAAAGTAAACGGCTATCTCTCCGAACTTTCTCGCTTCTTCACTGCAAAGTGTCTAGCCCTCTCCCCTACGAAATCCTCCGCGACCCTGTTCACAACCTGGACGAAAGAGGTCAGGGTACCGCTGGGGATTCACGTCGATGACACACCAATTCCGACGGTGAATAACCCCAAAATACTCGGAGTAACATTCGACAGCCTGCTCTCCTTCTCTGCGCACTCAACCGCTATTGTCAATAAAGTACAGAGGCGCAACAAGGTCCTCAAGTTGCTGGCAACATACAAGGCAATCGGCCGGCCGGTTTTGAACTACGCAGCGCCAGTGTGGTCGCCAGGGACTAGTAGGACGCAGTGGACGAAGCTACAGACTGTACAAAACACCGCACTCAGGACAGCGACGGGATGCCTCTTGATGTCGCCTGAACACCACCTGCACGGCGAGGCGCAAATGCTCCCTGTAAAGGAGCCCTATTATAATGCTCTGCAAGCAGTTCCTGATCGGGAGCCACAGAAGTGGCCACCCAAACAGACAGCTGCTTGCAGAGGAGCCCTCGCCTAGGCACGTCAGGAGGCATCTATATGAACTGACGGACGAAGTCCAGAGGTTCATTAAGCAACCTCTGGACCCGACAGCGTACAGACAGGCCCTGAACGGCATTCACAGGGACTCAGTCTCGAGTTATGTAGACTCTAGACCTGTGAATGCCGTTCTAGGCATACCACCCCCGGAC